AGCCCCTTCATTCGATAGTAGGAGATTGGTTATACGAGAGTTAACCAGTTTACTGCTTTGTACTGGAATCCAATTCCAGTAGTGGAGTTCTGTGCTCATTGCTTCAGCTTTCTATCCCCGTGAAGACTAGTCGTCTGCCGGGTAGTTAGACTGAGAGGGCTTGGTCAGCTTAAGAGATTCCAAGCTACTGTCGGATCTTCCGTAGTCTAATCAACAGTAAATCAACCCATGGTAATTACAATTGAACCTAACTAAGGAGCTAGGGGGACTCATTCTCGAGTGACTCTTTCCTGCTTTAGAAAACCGAACCATTTCCTGCTTTCTTACTGCTTTTGCTTTAAACAACAATCACTCAACATAGTTGGCTAGATAATAGATAATCACGGAGTAAGCAGTAGATCTAGACCCCGGGTTGATAATAGAACTTGCCTGTTACTGCATTCCCGGACTGCGATTACACTTGGTCGCAGTTTGGTGTTGGGTGTTGGCGTGTCAGCATCCTTGATTGAAGGTAGTGAATTGGCAACTTTATTCAAGGAGTCAATTCACTATTCTGTAGCGAATTTACTTCGGTAGTGGAGGTTTGGTTCGTTAGGGCCTCAATCTGTTTACTCCGGTGGAGGTTAGTCGCCTGCTGGGGACTCAGATTGAGAGGGTCAGGAGACCTTTAGTCGAGACTGCAGACTGTTTAAGAACCTCCCGCAGTATAACTATCATTGAAATTGAAATCATGTTATTTCATAGTATCGAAACAATTTTGTACATAATTTCTTTATAGAATTAAAAATAAGGCATATTTTCTTACATGTTCAACATGTTAAACTTCACATGATGTGAGATATATAATTTAACAATCCTATGAATTATGAAAGTCCAAATTAGATCGATTAGTCCATAAGTCAGTGATCAAGTTGGCCCTCAAAACCACAATGTTGAGACATCTCATGAGCTCTAAATGAGCCAACTCACGAGTTGAGCTCAACAAACCACCGAGTCGAGCTAGCTCGCGAGCTTCACGAGCTGAACAAAGCTAAGCTCAAGCTTGGCTCGTCAGTAAACGAATCGAGTTTCGAACGAGCTTTTCCCGATTCGAGCCTCGAGTTGCTCGCGAGTAGCTTGGCTCATTTGCAGCCCTACTAGGGAGGTAGTGTAGCACTATGGAGGATGTTGAAGTATAAGATTTTTCCTATCTAGCTCTCTATTGTGCCAGTTGATTTTGTGAATTAGTGGAGCTAAGACCGTTGAATTCATGTGGTAATGCTGAGTCTGTTTGGATTGTGTTATGGACTCGTATATCGAACAGGGTGCTCATGTGGGAAATGAAAAGCAGTTGGTCCTCCATCTCGAAATCATTGAAATCTTAAACATGGGGTAAGCCTAACGTGTGTGGCACCGTTCATTGCACAAAATTGGGTTTTGGAAGAGATCTTAGTGATCCTTAGTGGGGTACTCCTACAAGGTGAAGCTAAGCTGTCTCTAGTACAAGTAAAACTTCCACCCGTTGAACGCTTTGCTTACTTGAAGATGTGTTTTTAAGGGCAGGGATAGAGCTTCTGACCCCCCTTAATTTCATTGACCCTCCACACGAGTTGAGGAAAAGGAGTTAAAAGAATTACTCTGGCGAGCGCCAGATGTACAGAAATTGCTCTTGCTCGACTAATAAGGGTTGACCGTGCAAAAGACTGCAGTTGGAACCCCTGCCAAAAGAAAAAAAAAAGAGAAAGAAATGTAAATGAAAGTGAAACAAGGGGTTCCAACGGTGAAATGAAGTGAAAGAGCACCCCGGTACAACAAGTCCTTGGTTGTGAATGGTGTGAGTCCCTTTATCCATGAACTGGTTGTCTTACTTACACTTCTTCTCATGATCCTGGCTTGAGTCTAGTACTCGCATTGAGAGAGATAGGGGACGTCTTAGAAGACCAGTTGACCTCGTAAGCTGCTATATGATCTAGGAAAACCTCTACCGACGATCGGGGTTGTTTGTAGCTATAGAGGTCTGGAGAATTGCATTGGTTTGAGTTAGGTTTGCTTGGGGACAAGCAAACGGTTAAGTGTGGGGGAATTTGATGACTTAATATATACACATGTTTTTGTCCATCATTCTTATACCGTTTGAGTCTTATTTCTCGTGTTTTAGGCCGATTTCACGCTAGGTTGTTCTTGTTTGTGATATTTCAGGTCCTATTATGTGAATGAAGGCTTGGGAAGGAGTTCGGGGTCGATTGGACGAAGATTGGACATTTGGCGAGAAGCTGGGAAAGTCACGCGAGCACGCCTAAAATCCCACACGACCGTGTGGCACCAAATTGCACGGGCAAGCCACACTGGCCGTGTAGGGGATCCCTTGTGGCCGTATGGAAAGTCCAGGGAGCTCACATGGGCAGCCTGGGAATCCACACGGCCGTGTGGCCCTGGCCGTGCAGCATGCCTGGAAGCCCACTAATCGAAACGCCGCGTTTGAACTTCCACACGGGCATCTGGGTATTCCACACGGCCGTGTGGCCTGGCTGTGTGGTCGGGAATTTCTGGTTTTTAACCCAATTTCCAGCCAAAGGAGAGGGGTTCCGAGTTTGAGAGAGAAAAAGCGATACCTAAAGAGAGAAAGTGACGAACCTGATTCTGCAAGTGTCTTTGATCGATCTCCATCACCATTGGAGCCCGGCTTGAGCTTGGAGAAGAGCTGATTGAGTGCCAGAAGCAGATTCTCATCCTTCACAGTATGGTTTCCACATCTGAGCTAGATTTCTCATCTCTCTCTATGGAGTAACTTTCTCATTCACCTAGGTATGAAGAACCCTAGATTTGTATGTTAGGTCTGATTGTATGAACCCAAGTACAAATTCAGTGGTTTGATTATATTCAATTGAGGTTTGATTTGTTGAATGGCATGAATCCTGATCAAATTCCTGTTATTTCTGCTTTAACCTAGAAAGAGAATATCTGCCTAGGTTGATAGAGCACCCTTAATTGAAGGTAGTGAATTGGCGACTTTAGTCGAGGAGTTGATTCACTATTCTGTACCGAATTTACTTCAGTAGTGGAGGTTTGGTTCGTTAGGGCCTCAATCTGTTTACTCCGATGGAGGTTAGTCGCCCGCTGGGGACTCAGATTGAGAGGGTCTGGAGACCTTTAGTCGAGACTGCAGACTGTTTAAGAACCTCCCGCAGTATAACTATCATTGAAATTGAACTTGGTAAATTACAATCTGGCTTAACTGCAGTCTAGGGGGAACCATATCCGGGTGACCTCTCTCGACTTGAAAACAACATTTTTACTTGCTTTACTTGTTTGCTTGTTGGACTTTCACTAAAGTTTCACCGTTAAATAATAAGAACTCACGGAGTAGTCAGCATACTTAGGACCCGGGTTGACATTAAAACCCAAACCCACTATACTACGCTTGAGGAGGTGGTTGCACTTGGCCATTTTCTAGAGTGACGGTAGGAGCGAGTCACTAATCATGGTTTTGTGTTCTACATTGTGTTAGGAAGGACACATATGGTGTTTACTCCGAATCGGTGGATCTCGAGGAGATTTGTGATGTTTTCCAGTCTCTGTTGGCTAGTGGTTGGCATATTGATGGTAGAGAATTGGCCGAGCTAACGTGTTAATGTGGCTGTTTCAGCTTTCGGATTATCTTGATGTGGTTGATCATCCGATGGATTTTGCCACAGTGCGGAAGAACTGGGAAATTGCTCGTACTCCACGTTGGAACAATTTGAGGTGTGTTCCTTACGTTCGATTTTGCTATGCATGTGCTAGTTATTCTCTCATGAAACTCTGCTTCTAGTGTCAAAGTTGTAGCTGAGAAGCCTGAGATCAACAATAGCCTTTTATTTATGTCTGGGCGTTTTGCTACCTGAGTACTGGATCACTGTCAATTTGGAAGAAACTCAAGAAAGGTTTTGACAGGGTGTTGGGCCATGATCTTTTGGATTATACTAGTGTTATGGAATGGTTGCCTTTTGTTACCTGGTTTATGCCTTTCTGGAATTGGAAAGTTGGCGGCAGAAGGTCACAGAGATGCCTTTTGATAAGCGTAAAATGTGCAAGCCTTGGGACTTGGCTGTTGTTAGACTTATTGATACATATCAGGAATTATAGATAGAGAATAATGATGTCGTGTTTGATCCTTGCTCTGTTCACATACTAACATCATGGCTATTTTAGCCTTTTAGGGCATCATTCTACCGTAGATCATATTATCTTATTTGGAACATTCTGCTTTGCATCTAAGCTGCAATGGACTTTATTGCTAGTCTTTGTTGATTCTGATGTGTTCGTGCAAAATATTGTTGAAGGTATATAGAAGGTTGCCATTTTGTTTTCTTGTGTCTCTTTCCTCGCAATTGGAGCAGTGACTCTAGTGATGCTCTTTCTTGTATGGTTGTTGGAAGAGAGTCCTAGGATGAGAACATAATGTTCATGTTGCCTTATCTATAAGGCTTTAGACTCTTTAGCCAGTTTGTTGTGGGAATAATTTTTCAGTTTATAGTTGTTGTATGGTTTTACTGAAGTGCTCTTCTAATGTTATTAGTTAATGCTTATTACTATTCTGTTTAGAGATTCTAAGAAATTTGAGTAATTGAGCTAAAAAAAAGTTAAATAATTTGTCTGATTATGAGACTCCGTTCTTCTGCAAATTTAAGTTATTGAGCGAAATTCTTTTAATTTTACCATAAGTTATGTTGATTAGGAGAGAGATATGACAGAAAGAAATTTTTTATACGTATTAATAAGGTTTTCTTTGACTGCAGAGTGACATACTTCTAATTTGCTCAAATGCAATGAAATATAATTCATCAGACACCATATATCATAAACAGGTAAAAAAGAATTCTATGACACTTCTTTGACGTCTCATGTCTAAATCTTGTGCTAATTTTGTTTCGTATTTTCTCCGAAAGGCACATGGCATCCAAGAATTGGCTCAAATGAAGTTTGAGAAGTTAAGGGTTGACATTGAACGCTCTGAGAAAGAGCGGAAGTCTTAACAGAAAATGAAGTCCAACTTCTCGACCAAGAAGCAAATGAAGAAGCCTTTGAGTAGGGCCACATTGGAACCTGTGGGGTCTGATTTCTCTTCAGGTGCCACTCTTGCTAATGCCGGGGAGGTTCAGAATGGTCCCAATTGTGTTTTGGGTGGTGCCTGTGAGAGGTCTTGTAACGTGGATTCTCTTGTAGAGGGCAGCTTGTTTCTGGTTGATAATACTAATCTAGAAAAACTTGAAGAACTATCATCAGGTATGAAACTTGAATTGCTCTTTGCAGTTGCTAATTTAGGATATAGGTGTTTGTCACTTGACTGTTCTGTTTTTCTATTATGTTGATGATATTGCTTTCTAATTGCTTTGTCTCTGCTATTCTGCAGGGAAGGGTCCTTGGCCCAAGATGGGAAAGAGACTGTCTGTCCTGGATGACAACCGCCATGCAACATATAACATATCTAGTCAATCAGTTGAAAGACTAGACACAATATTCACAACATTTGCGGACGAGCTCAGACAGCTGGTTGCTGCATGTAACTAGGAAGCTGCACCATTTTTACTTTAGTAGCTGTGAGATAATACTGATGTTTTCTTTCATTTTCTTCGATTAGGTGGGGCTTCATGCAGAATATTCCTATGCAAGGAGCATGGCTCGCTTTGCTGCAACCCTCGGACCATTAGCTTGGAAAGTGGCATCTCACAGGATTGAGCAGGCTTTACCACCTAGGTGCAAGTTTGGTAGAGGATGGGTGGGAGAATATGAGCAACTCACAACCCCATTCTAATGATTGAACCACGTGCTCCTAGAGACAATAAATTCTTCTCCCCCAAGGTTAAAGCTCCTATTGATGCACAACCCGGTCATATGATGCAACTGAAGTGCCAATTGCTCAACCTCCACCAGCTAGAGGGACTAGTTCACAAGGAAAGCACAGAGTGTTCCCACCAACCAGCAGTGTGCCGGAAGTTAAAAAACTCATGTGTTCCTCTGCTGCAGCCAAGCCATTTGCCTCGTTTAATGTCACTCACCCGCAACAAAGCTATTTCTCTTTGGAACTGTGTCGAGACTCAGAATAAGGCTCCCAAACAGGCTGAACTGAATCTGCCTCCTTCAAACTATCAAAATAATGGTGAATTTGGTGATGGAAAGCAACTTCCAAAGAGTTCAGAAATGTCATCTTCAAAGGTGTGGGAAGTACGGTCAAGAACACAGAGTTCACAGCCAAGGTTAGTGCCAACAAGAATAGAGAGCCCAAAGCCAAGGGATATGTCGCGAAGAACAGAAAGTCCAAAGCCATGGGATGTGCCACCAAGAACAGAAAATCCAAAGCCTAGGAAAGTGTCGAGAACAGAGGCTAGTATGCAGCAGTCCCTACCTAGTAAGCAGCTGGACAATTATACGCACGTTCCTCCAGGCGTCCCGAATGGGAGAAACACTGGCAGTAATTTGGTAAACGGTAGTAGATCAGAGACTGCATCATCTGATGGTTTTGGCCAAATGGGTTACAGAGGAGGACCACACTATCCACCACAGGCACCAGGACAGGTTCTCACAGACCCAGTGGAGGCAATGAGAATATCAGCAGCTGAAAGAGCTCAAAAGCCTACTTCAGCTGGCCAGTCCTCAACTGCCAAGGCTCTGCCAACTTCAAGGAGCGACTGCAGCAATGCGGCCACAACTGTTGCCTGAGCATGGATGTCGATAGGCGCAGCAGGTGGAGGCCTCAAGGCCCCACCAGCGGAGAATTCTACTAGTAACACGAAAGGTCGGATTTCTGCAGAGTCACTGAGGTCGGATTTTCTCCTCATTTAGTAGCTACTGATTTATCTAGGTTGCAAATGATATCCTCCCCATGGCGAGGACAAAGTGGGCCACCGTCTCAATCCCAGTCTGCTACTAAGCAAAAGCAAGAGACACACAAGCTGCCACCGGATTTGAACATTGATTTTCTGTCTCCAGGATCACCGGTGAAACAGTCATCAGATGTCATGGTTGATTCACATCAACTTGACATGGCATTACAGCTTTGAAAAATGGATAGCATTCGAACCGAGCCATTAACACAATCCACATGGGTTGAGACTTCGGCTGCATTTGCAAGGTGGATTCCTTTGCACCTTTGCTCAAGAAGATCCATCCCACGGTGTTCATTAACTAAAAGTTTGGCTCTCAGGAAGACAATATTAAATCTTTCAATTCATGGTGATGATGCAGAAGGGTTATGTGTACAAAAAGGTGGAGAGTTTTGCAGTTGCAATCAGAGGAAGTGATGTTGAGAAAGCACTTAGTTGGGAGTGAACGGTACTGGTTCCTTTCCCATCTTTTCTCTGGAACAAAGTACATAGGTTTAGAAGTTTGATCCAAACGAGAGTTAGGCAGCTTAGCCAATCGAGAGGCTGAACCGGAATCGAATTGGAGTTAGGAATTGGGGGTTCATGTATTGATTATTGAGGAAGAAGAGTTAGAGAGACTTAGCAGCAACAGCTTAGGAATTTGCCTTGTATATTTGACACAGGTTGATGGTTCCTGGAGGGGATTGCCTAGTATTCATATCTGTCTTCAAATTTCTTTCTGTCCTTGTGAATGTGATTTATTGCATATGTAGAAGGCAACTCCCCCCTGAATGATTATTGCTCTATTCAAAATTTTGGAGCCTGCAAGTTCGCTTCCTTTTGGTCTAAGGAGGTTTTTGCATGGCTTTTCTGATGTTCTCTTGGATTGTGCCTCTCATGATTGACAACGGTTGGATGCATGCGGTGATAAGTTTGTAATGCATGTAAATTGTGGAATGTATGAGCTATATGGAAAGTTGATGGCAACTCTACGAAATTTAATGCACAATCTCATATACTGTTATTCATTTCAAATCGATCTCAATTGAGGGTAGGGAAAAATTCAATAAAAATGTATTGAAATTCTGAGATCCATCCATTTTCCAATTCCTTGGGAGGCTATGTCTCATAAACATTGGATTATCCAATTAAGCAAAATGTAACTAAAACTATACATACAACCAATATAATCAAATTCAATGAACCAAAGTTGAAGCCTTAATTTTCTGATGAGAGGATCCCCAGAATGACAGCTCAATCCCATCTTATATCTACAGAGATATAGGAATCATAAAGCTAATAATTTACAAGTTGGGAGAACTCCGAAGCCGAATCCGGCGAGGGAACATTGAGAAGCAAACGGCGGTTGACTCCTTCGGCGGCTTCCCCTTGGCAATGGTGGATTTCTGGCTCTGCTCGCTGCTGCTGCTCCCTTGGCTCTCTTTTCTCAGGTAACAGATGTCCCCCTCGCACACGTAGTTTGAAGGAGCCTGCCGGCCGTCATGATTATTCTTATGATCATTAGCAGCAGCAGCAACAGATTGATGATGACGATGATGATCGGTACGCCCGCCACGGAAGATACTTGATAACGACGACACGGCCATTTATCTCCGACCAAACCAAAACCACCCCGACAATGAAGAACAAAAGAAAGGAGCTGACGAATTTTTTTGAGGGGAAATAAACAAAGATGGGACAGTATTCGAAAGCTTGTGTATATAGAAAACCAATGAAGGGGGAAAAGGAAAACAGAGGAACAATTTTTTGTTGGTTTCTTTTACGATCTTGTTATATTGAAGGGTGAAGGAAATAGGGGCAATGTTTTATTTGGACTTGTGTTGTTGAAAATAGGATCTTTCTGGCTTTGGAAAATACACGGCTCAATGTTGCTTGCTTGTTTCAGTCTGCCGGCCACTTACGTTTTCTCTTCTTTCTTTCCTGGAAAGCAAATAGATAATATATAAAACGTGTGGACATGTCCACATACCACAAGAAGTAACACATCAGATGAATGAGATTTTGACTGCAGTTAGATCAAAGCCTTCTTTAAAAACCTTCTCCAAGCCCTTTAAATACTTTGACTTCTGGTTAGAGCATTCAGATTTCTTGACCATTTTTTAGGAAGCCTGGTCAGTAAAAAAAACTTATGGTGTTCCAATAATAATAGTTGTGAAAGCAAAGAAAAGCCCTCAAGAAACTCAACAAGGATATATATGGGGATTTAAGTACTCAAGTAAAAGAAATGGAGAGTCTACTGCTTGATGCTCAGACCCATGCACTTAAACAATCATCAGAGCGTGGATAAGAGTTTGATCTAGTGGTACATGTACAACCAAAAATAGCACAATGTCATTAAGTTCCCCATCTTTTTTGAAATTTGAACCAAAATCTCCACTATGTTTGGGACGATGAGAACATCTCTAATGAATATAAATAAACATGTACCTTCAAATTTCAATGAAGTATACTCCCTATCACTATATGCTTGTTCATTACCGATTTCAAAATTAAATATAAACTCTCTGAATTTCTACAGCTCTTGTCCCTTACTTGTTTATCAAATAAAGAACATTCTATGTTTAGACAACTCACACAGTTTTCCTCAATACTTTGTTAATCACAATTATCTCTTCCATGGAAAATAAAAAATTTCCAAATTACGTTTTAGGGGATTTTATTTCCCTCGCCTTGTGGAAAACCACGATAAATAAAATAAATAGATTTTCATCCCTCAAAACAAAATCCCTTACTATGGCACCATAAGCAAAAATACAATAAGAGTAGACTTTAATTTGGGCATCATCGTGTTCCTCCCGGCAACATTTTTGCTCTACCAAAGTTTGGTTTTTCAGGCAGAGCAGTTGCCCGGAGAAGAAAGCTCGAATAGGGGACATATTCCAATTTCACCCAAAAGTTCTTTCTTTTTTCTTTTTTCTATTACTCTATAGAAAATATCAACCGAAGGTGTCTAAAGTGGCACACAATTCTAAATCATTGATAGCAAGGTTCAAACCGTTTGAAACTGTTGAGAAGTTGGCGCCTCGCCGCACCCATCTCCCTCTTTCTCTTTCCTCCGTAACTTCTCTCTATACCTTTCTGATTCCTCCACTCGTAACTTCTTGTGGGTCCCCAATCATCCTCCATCCTCCTCTGACATTCCCAGGTTCCTTCTCTTCCTCTTCCCAGCCGACGAGCAAATTCATCTGGGAAGGAAGAAAGTGCCCCACTTTCATTTCCACCTTAGAAAAGACAAGGACCCACCGAGGAAGAAGAAGAAGAAGAAGAAGAAGAAGAAGAAGAAGAATTTTGGGTTTTGATGGAGTTATTGGGTACTCTTATTTTGCATGATATTATTACCTTCAATGGGGTAAAGGTGCAATTCGTGGTTAAATTTAATAAGAAACCAGAACTCATTTTGTCCACGAATATGTAAAGGAAGACAAAATTGGAACAACGAAGTGTTGGAAGGTTTTCAAAATTCTTTTTTCTTTCTTTTTGGGTCGCATTGTGAACCCACCAAGAACAAAGGAAGATATATCATTGTTAGGTTGTGAAGTATTATCTTTCTACCTTTAGAATGATGTCAACAGGCAATGGTGACGGTGGGTCCTCTAGATCTACCACAAGTGGTAGTGGCGAAAGAGGAGGTAACAATAGAGGAGACAATAACACATATGTAAATGCGTTTGGGTTCGGTGATAATAGTGTTGCTCATTACCATCAACACCATCACAATCATAATAGAGGAGGAGGGAATGCGGTAGGAAATTCTACAAATGACGGGAGAGAGATTAATAACAATGTTGGTGGCGGTGGGAGGGAACGACCATTAAAGAAAGGACCTTGGACAGCGGAAGAAGATGCAATTTTACTTGAATACGTGAGGAAACACGGCGAAGGGAATTGGAATGCGGTGCAAAGGAATTCAGGACTTAACCGTTGTGGGAAGAGTTGTCGCCTTCGTTGGGCTAATCACCTTCGACCGAATCTCAAGAAGGGTTCTTTCACACATGAAGAAGAAAGACTCATCATTGAGCTTCATGCAAAGATGGGGAACAAATGGGCTCGCATGGCCAACTTGGTTTGTCTTTCCATTTCTCATGCTCTTACTATGTTTTTCCTACTAATGCTTTGTTTTCCCAAGTTCTTATTGTTCTATCATTTTCTTCTCACATGCATGGGGATGTATAGCTTCCAGGAAGAACAGACAATGAGATTAAGAACTACTGGAACACAAGAATCAAGAGGCACCAACGGCAGGGTCTCCCTCTTTACCCTCCAAATATCCAAACTCAACAACAACAACACTTCCAACATGATTTGCTTCACCATAACCAACACCATCAATATATTCACCATAAGTCTTTCGACACACCGCCAAGTTCGATCAACACCTTCTCCTTCCAACCTTATCAACTGCCTTCCCCAACTGCAATAGCACCGCCGAATCTTCATCCTTACCACCACCAAGCCTTTGCACCACACTCATCTGCCTCTCACAATGCCTTCCAAGCCTTGCCGCTTTTCAACTACTCTCAACAACAACAACAACAACAAAGTTACCATCCAGACTATACTCCCACAAACCCAAGTCAATCTCCATTCACTTTTCAAACTAAAAACCTAAAGCAAAATTATGATCATCCTTCCTCAGCTTCGACAACCCCAACCCATGTCTCCCCTCTTCCTTCTCCTTCAGTAGCTAATAATTCGTCCCCTGTTTCTTCTTCTCACCATCAACGCATCCCAACTCTAGCACTCCTTGACTTCTCCTTCCCACGCCCCACTCCCATCCTCCAATCCCCTAATCGCTTCAAGCGATTTGCCTCTTGTGGTGACATTGCCAACTCTCCAGCAGTTGTAGCCAACCAGCCTAACAACAACAATGCTCATCCACATCATTTACCACCCTCATTAGCCAATCCATCATCAACTCCACCTCTTCCTCCTCATCCTATCATTTCTTCCAATAACGTTGCACATATGGGAAATTCTCATAACCTAAACCATCCCAATGTACTCTCTAGCCTACTCGATGGCAACAATAGTGAGTTCCATAAGGAGATACAGAAGGAGAATGAGGAGATGTGCTCACTTTTAGCTTCCATGTCTCACCATCCAGAGCTCCCTTCAAATCAACTTTTATCACAAAACCCTTTTGGGGTCAATTCTAGTACGAGTATAATCCCTCAAGGCCAGTTCACTAGAAGCATTGATATGAAAAATAGAGGCAATAACAAGAACAACAATAATATTATGATTAGCAAGGAGGAGGGTAAGAATGACATCTTGCTAGCAGCACCGACATCGAACAACACTGGTAATGCCTACGGAGGATCGTTGGAGGATCTTTGGCAAGAGGTCAATCCAAATTTGATGATGCAGAGGGATAACTATGTGATGCAGAGGAATGATAATGATGTTCATGGCTACACCACAACCAACAAGAATGCCATCAATTTTTCCAACTATGGTGAACAACAGGGAGATAATGAGGAGTTAAGCAAGTTCCTGGAAGAGAGTGAGATTCGACAGACAGATAATCAATTTTGTGGAGAAAATTTCAGTGGTGGCGATAAGGATCATCAGACAACCTCCAATGACCCTTCAGTAGTGACAACAGAGGATCACATCAATTTTGATCTCCATCACATGTGTTCATTTCTTCCCACAACAACCACGATGACGACAACAGACCCGGATAGGCCTCCCCTGGAGACTTATTCATGGGACAACTTGCCAGAGATTTGCTAAGAAGTTAACTTCAAGAAGAGAGTTGGGGTTTGTAATTAAGTCTTGTAATCGTGGTCGTTCTTTTATCCTTTATACATCTTTATGAGAATTTTGCAAATTCGTTGGGGATGTAAGTTTCCTATAACTTGGAGAAGGGAACTCTCTTTTGTCTTGTGCTATTGTTGTAATGTAAGAGATCCCCATTGGGAATACCCAAATTTACTAACTAAATAATTCAAATTTCTCGCTATCTACGACACTAATACAACATTTATTAAAAGTCACCTACACTTCAATACTTCTTTGTTGCAAGTTGAGGTTGGTGATTTTGTTGTTTAGGGTATATCTTGGTGAATTTCAGGTTATGATACCATAAAGGACGAGAACGTGAGTGTGTTGGTTCAAACAAGGACAAAATTAGGTACCAAATGAGCAATTAGTGTACTGAGAGCAACATCTCATTTCTTAAGAAGGAGCATATATTTTGAGAGCTCTTGATCTCTTTAGTTGAGGATTCACCGGAATCCGTGCACGACTTTAAGAGGTAGGAATAGCTTTGTTTGATGCACAATTTCAAGGCAAATTCTACTCAAAAATAGGTTTCTTGTTTTTAATCTTGGTTTCCTCCATGACTAATTGACTATGAGTAGTTAAACCCTCTGTGTTGTTCGGATCGGTGGAAGTCTAGGTGGTTTTAGGGTTCCCTACTTATTATCAATATAAATTGTTGTGGTATTTCATTTGAATGGTTCTCTTGTGTTTGCTTATCTCTATTATTATCTTAAAAAGCTAGCCCTATGATTATGAATCTGTAGGAAATGGATAATTGACTAGAGATAGCTAGTTAGGTTCCTTGATCACCAAACAAAACAAACAAACAATCGATTGATTATTATTATAAGATATACTAGCAAGGAAGCCCGCGCTACGCGGCGGGAGATCAAATCCGCAAAATTTGGAGTTCTGAGTTCGGAGTTGTTAGTGGGAAGTGGACTTATACAAATGTTAAATTGTAAATAAACATTGGGTTATTACTGAGGTTGGTTGTGATTGAGCACAGAGAGGATGGTAAACTCCAAAGGGGTTTGATGTGAATATTCAGGTTTAGGGAGTTGAACGCCAAAGGAGAACCAACGTCCATTGATGGCGACAATTTCTGGAGGGAAAGATTCATGTTGGTGAGGGTACCGCAAAGATAGTTCGTCAGCAGTAATTCCAAGTAAATACTCAGCGGTCTTTCCAAGCATAATAAAGCATGCCGAACCAGTAGTGTCTCCTACAGCCAAATGGATCTTGTAGCTGGGGAATTGTATAAGAAATATAGGGTTCAGTTGATTGTGGTAATTATAATGGTGGAAAAGTACTTGTTGGTAAACTAACCATTTTGTGGTTCGCTGAGGTACTAACTGCCCATGCTCATCACACCAAAAATCAGTAGTACCAGGAAATTCTCTAGTTGTCTTGAAGCAAAATCCACATCCTATGTAAAACCATGGTCGTGAGGACTTAGTGGATAGTACTTGTGCTAAGCAAAGGTACTGTGTAGCCTGTAGGTAAATAAAACAGTTGAGCAAAGTTAGACAGGTAGGCACGAGCTTCGTTTGTTAAGACAAAAAAGGAATTGCACAAATGGCAGCAATAATTGTATAGCAGGCAGATCGAGGGCGGAACCACACATCTTGTAAAATAGGTAAGAATTATTAAATGAACTGATATGGAATGAATATAAGGTACGATCACGGTAAAGAGTTGATAATACAATGCTTTGACAAAGCGCTAGTCTAAAATAATGGAATTGCTAAAGATTAAAAAGAAATAGACTTATAAAACAATAAAGGAAAAAAACATCTTTGGAATGCAGTATGTAACATCATAGCAGATTTCTATTAATAAAGGCAAAATCATAGACAATAACACCATCCATGAAATAGTAAGATAAGAAGGTAAAATAAACAAAGGCATGGAAGTTAGAGACAGTCGGTAATGCAAGTTAACATATGATAAATGAAAGGGAAAAAGTGGTAAATTTTCATGATCCAAGCAGAAAAGCATCCGTGAAGTTAAGTAGTTGAGGCCAAGGGTACAGAACCCTAATAAAAAAGTTTAAGTAACCGAAGAACCAGATGGGTCAAGCATATGACAAACCGTAGATTCTTCATGAGTATGGATTCGTGAAATGCAATGTTTGTAACTGAACGTTTGTGAAAAGCACGTACATCAACCATCGATGGGTTGTAAAGGCGGATCAGTTCGGAAATTGTCTTTGTACTGTTAGTCTGGAATATCTGTTCTTCAAAAGTGCTCGAGAACCATGGAGGATAATATTGAATCGTATTTATTCCACCAAGAGACCTACACAGTGGAATAAAAATAAGTTGAAGGAAAAGTAAAGTCTTGAAAGTGATATTGGAAGCAACTTACTCAGAGCGTATAGTATTTGCCAGATGAGATGATGGTTCCAACACAAAGCGTGTGGCTGGGGTATTGGTCAAAAAGATGGCGTCTTGAAAAAAAAAATGGGAAAGTAGGCATTAGGACATTAGAAAGCGGATGAGTGAAAAAACAGTTTCGAGGTATGAAGTTGTGATGTAAACCTGTTGTTACATATTCAAGTTGAAGACTGCACACACCCAATATAACATAACCAGAACGGCCAAGGTAGGCTAGTTCTTCTCCATCCAAAGAGCGTGCAATATCACCACAGATGGTGATATTAAGCCGTACTTTACTGTAAAAGTAGAGAGAAAATGAGTACAAGAGAAAGGAAATAAAGCAAATATACTAACAAACGGTAAAAGTAAACAGGTGAATGTATGGAGAACCTTTCGTCTTCTATGACCAGTTTGCGCCTAATAATAGCACGATCAGAGGTTATCGAACATGAGAGACCAGCTACTGACACAACTCTACCAACAACATCTACATTGGAAGAAGCTGTCAAATATAGTTAGCTCATGAACGAAAAGGTGTAACTGAAGTGGACTTCATGACATAAGAGCAGTTTGGTATGTCAACCTATTAGTTGGTTTGCTGAGTGAGGTATAGAGCGCAGGGAATTGAAGTGAACAAACTCAAACGAATTAGTACAAAAGCTAGGTGACAGGATGGTGACATTATCAAATATGGTTTGTTGAGAAAAAACCAAATTCAGTCTATGGGAGCAAGCCTGCGACATCGCTTGTGGTTGTTGTATTTGGAATTTAGTAACTAAATACACACACCCCAGTTGCAGGATCGTGCTAAAATGGGAAGCTAAATTCGATGGGGCGATAGCCTGAATCAAGGTTCCCTGTCAAAGTAGGTAGCAAGCGAAGCAACAGAGATGAATTAGGAGCATATAGGGTATTGGAAAATACAGATTTGTGCGTAAATAGCATCTTACCTTTGCATCGGTCCATAGACTGCAATACGCCCAAAGCATTGATGGATTTTCTAGGTCGCGAGAACCCCAAATATGTAGAAGTCGCAATTTGAGAATAGTTTCTAGGGATTCAGTTCCATTCAGATCGAGAAGCAACTTCTGAACAGACATTTTCTGTCTGCGAGGAAACAATAGTTGAATGTTAAAGTCAGAGACAGAGAAGGAAAAGTTATATCGCAGTACTGTGCTTCTTCTGGTGAGGCTAGAAGCAGGGGGTAAATAATTACGCAGTCACAGTAGATATAAGGGTGCAAGCCAGAGAAAATGAAAGCATAAGACCGAAGAAACGGGATAGTATCGGCTTAGGTTACCTATTTCGCGGTTGAAACCAACTGTTCCTGCTTCAGTGACGGCCCGCCATCACGGCAAAAGTCGTCGGATCCGGTAACCTTCCAATCTAAGGTTGCTTGTTGGGCGTTGAAGGCATCTAATGGACTATATTGGCTTTTTGGGTTCTGTTTTTTAGTTGCTGGCTCACTGCAGAGTTGAGGGAGGAAGTCCGATCATCGACCGCATGGAGAATAGGCTGGATCGCCTAACTTGTATTTTGTTCCAGCCAGAAGAGGAAAGAAAAGAAGTGTAGAGAGAAAGATTGAGAGTGGCGTCAGTTAGAGATAAGCGGACATCATAAATAGTCAAGATTTTTTTCTTTACAAAGAAGTCATTGGGGATTCTTAGAAGGAATAAATATATTAAAACCATATAATAATTATTTGTAGTCAAGTCAATTAATTAAGAAAAATAATGTAATAAAAGATACGCACTGTTTTCGTTTGGAAGAGTGTTTTATTCTGTAGAATAATGGAAAATTGGTAAACCATGGGACGATGCATTGGCTAAGTCTGGTTGATGAGAACTCATTCGTTGGCATGAATAATCGAGCGTCTATAATAGTGACGTAAAAGGATAGAGTGAACTAATGAACCTAACTGGTAGAATGGAAAAGCATAATAATAAGAACAGATGCAATATGGTAGAAACCTATAATGTCAGAACAGATTCAAAATGGCAGAAACCTAGAATGTCTTGTTCTGAGAAACAGTGGCATTGCAAAGGTACAAATAACAGTTACAAAAGTTGTGGAGGGGATGATTGGAGATAAATATGTAGGCTGCCAATTGTTAATTGTAGATGTAGCTATATCAGTCTTGAATAGTTGCAGCATGACGATCCCACACTGATACGACTTCAAACCTTTCACGGTTATGTGTGGACCAAGGTAATAGCTTCACTTCAAATGTAAATGCGCGGTAAATGACAGCCTGAAGAAGAGGCTCGACATCTGCTTCTTCAAAGTCCCACTTAGGATATGATTGCAGCAGTGCAGCAGCTGCCTCATGACTTATTAAGACTGTAGTTTGATCTGTCTCGTCATATACGTCTGCTGATATATAAAAACTGTTCCTGATTGTGTTAGCAAAATGTTTTTGTTCGTATTCTGCGGGGTTTAGTGTCATTTCAAATCCATTTACGTACCTTTTGATCCTGTCATCATGAGCAATGGCTGTTTCGCAATTGGAACAGACATCATTTGAAAGCAGTCTGTGTTTTTGTGGTGAGCACAAGGGGCATAACCAACAAAAGAATCCAAACTGGCGATTGATTGTCTGGATGGACACTAAGCACCTAAATATGGCCTGCCAAACAATGACTAACGAACAATAAGTGTGTGTGATTTAATTCATGTTATTACGATTTAAGGAAATAACGCATACATTGCAAAGAGGTCTGATGTTCAATGAAATTTCTTCAGCCAAGAGAAACAGCAAGTCTTGTATTGAGTGGCACTGCCCTTGTGGTTGGAGTGGTCTGATTAGTTCTACGCTTCGCTCTTGATTAATGCAGAATATTGGCATGTTTGAATTGGAGTGCCTGCA